GACCAGCCATGCAGCAGTTCTCTTAGCCCAGGGATCAGCTACAGTCATGGTAAGACCATGAGGTCTTTTGCTTTTGTGTGTGGAAACGGTACATATTACATTCTACCACAGAGAGGACTTTGAACCTAACCACTGGGTCCTGAAAGCGGATATAATATTCACAATGACTGAAATCGTCAGTGGGTCTTGATTTCATATTTCATATGAAAGTCGTTCGTGGGTTACCCGTGAGGATACGCCTTCATAAACAAGAAAAATAAAACAGCTTTGCTTAGAATGATGGGAACATCAGAAAGTGTGGAAGCCATTGCTTTTATTGATTTGTATTGCACACAAACGATGCAGCAGGGACCAATTTTAGCCGTATGAGGGTAGCCTGTAGGCCTCCTGTTAACATAAAGTGGAGCTGCATGAACTGAAAGTTGAGAACTGTCACTTTTGGGAATGCCACAAGGATATACAGTACTTGCTGGATCCAAGTCACGTTGCAGACTAGAAAACTTGCTAATTTGTTGTAAGGGACACATGGGAAATAAGTAGCTGATTAGACTTTGATATTCCTTATTTGTTTATTTTTTGCTTTTTTTTTTGTTAGAAGGCCTTAGGCATATCAAACATATATCCCACAGCAGGGCGGATCAGCCAGAAGAGGCATTTGTTTGTATTGTTCCTGGGCGACCAGCACTCCCTCCATATGGACTGAACTCTTTGGCTTCAAAACAGATGCAAGCTTTACATTTCTGAGATGGTTTACTGTGTGTCAGATAGGCTCGGCTGCCATTAAGCTTTTGTCCTGCACTATGCAGGCTTTCTGTGACGAATTTCACAGCAATACCTGTATATCATAGAGCAGCTTTGGAATGAAGCTGTCAGGCGGACGCAGTGCATCATTCTGGTAATTCGATGCAAAAAAGACTCAATCACAGGTAGCTCTCAAAATTCCCTTGCTTAGTCACAGTGTGCATACTCCTCCCAAATGCACAAGCCACAGTACTGTATGTAGTGCACCATGTTTAACAAGTTATGATAAAATACTGTATAGTTAAACCAGACAATTTTAAAAAAAGTCTTCTGTAGGCCAGAATTAAACAATGCCAAGAAGATTACAGTGCCCTCCAGAAATATTGGCACCCTGGATAAAGATCAGCAAAAAAAATGTTGTTTATCAGCTTGATCTTACACTGAAAATATGAGAGAAATCTAACCTTTCAGTGAGGTAAAATTATTCAATGAAAAAAATCCTTATAAAAATATAAACATTTTTCTCAAAAGCACGTGTCACAATTATTGGCACCCCTAGAAATTCCTGTGAACCAAATTTAATTGACATATATTCCCATTCATTATATCAAGCTGATAAACAACAAAGACATTTTTTCTTAGCCTTTTTTGCCCATCATTACCAAGGGTACCAGTAATTCTGGAGGGCACTGTATGTACCTGGAGACAAAAGGCAGGTTGTGCATATTGCCTTATTAGAACAGGTAATTTCTTTGTCAAGGACAAAAGCGACAATTTAATTTAACTGTTGAAAAGACGGGTAAGTTGTTAAAAATGATGATTGAGTTGATATTCATGTAACTGAGTATGTTGATGACTAGGTGTTTAACTCCAAGAAAACCTTTACAATCCTACTGTTTTGCTTACTTAATGTCTTGTCTGCAGTGGTTCCAATGTAGTGATATGTTTTCTGTAATGTGATGATCAAAATTGTACACAGGGTTTTAAATGAGGCCCTTACTAATACATTATACAATTTTAACATACTTGTAATGTGCCTCGAATTAAATATAGCACTGTTGAGTTTTTGATACCTCCCCATTATCTTGAAGATGAAAATAATGTGTTAACATAAATACCTAAATATTTTAATGAATTAGCTTCTTCTATCTCAGTGTATAGTTTTATGTTTTTATTACCTGACATAAAACCCTACCCTTCCCTACTTTAAATGTCTCATTTGCCAGGTTTTTGGCCA